TGATATTTATGGCCCTAACTTAAACGTTTAGTTTTGTGCAAAACGGATGCCTGGAGCTGCCCATCACGACCTCTCCCCGAGAAGGCAGAGTGGAGGCAGTGGGTCCGATGTTGGCAGCTGGGTTGAAAGGGGCACCTGGCTGCAGTCGGGTAACAGAGCGGGAGGTGTGGGGAGGTTAATATTGACCTTTTCTTTGTGTATGGTTTTGGTTGGTAAATTCGCCAGTCCTGTTCAACAGGACAAACTTCTGTTTTATTATACTATAAGGCAGGAAACGTCAAAGTTACTGGTAGGAATATCAGGTTTGTCTTTGTAGGTTTCTGTTCTAGCAGACTAGCAAGCTGTGCTCTGTGGCGATACTAGCTGTTACTTCTTTTCAACACACTGCCTTTGGCATATCCCTGTCTCTTAAAATCATAAGGAACTTTTCATAACCATCGAATGGGGTTATGAGGGGTGCATGTAGGTGTTTGGGGAGAAGGCTTCCATTTCTTCCTCAAACTCCATCTATCTGTGACCTTTTCCTCTGCAGATTCCCTGGGTTTTTCCATGTTCTTTAGCTTTTCTGTTGATTTTTATATGGTACGATGAGCAAGGATCAATTTAATCTTACTGGTACATCTGAAGTAAAAATCAGTTCTGCACTCTTTACTACAGCAATGCTCGGATCTATCTATGGATTGGGAGAAGGTATCAACCTTCCTTTATATCCATCTTTAAAAGAGCATTGTCAAAGTGTTTCTTACAGTGCTTTTAAAAACACTTTTCATACCGCTTATAATAACGCCTTACATGAAGTCAGTTCTGTGGTGTGTTTATATATTGAATTTGCTTTCATTCAATGCATACACAAATTGATTTGCTATGGTAAGGATGCTTGAGTGCGTGCTCGTTGATTTAATTAAGAAAAAAGCCCTTTTATCAGGTATCCTATGAAGCTAGCATAAAGAACCAGGGGTTTGCATAATTACCTATGTGTTCTTTATCAATAAAATATTTTTTTCATTTTCATTCATTCAACTCATATGTACTGAATTTGAAGTTTGGCAATATTTTTAAACTTAGCTTGTCAGAATCAAGGAAAATATTTTTTTGCTTAAAAAAAAAAGCTAAGGTAAGATTCACATGTAGTGTACATTTATAAATGACTGGAGTAAATTCTGTAAGGCTGTGTTTTGACCTCTACCAGTCTGTGCAATTGATGGCATTATCCAGCCTGTAGTCTTCAGCAGGGAAGCTAGAGGAATAGGCATTGCTCCCTGTATGTACACTTGCTCCCTATAGAAAGTTTAATGAAAACTTTCTTGAAATCTGTAAGCTTTATATGTTTATCCTGCCTCTTACCTTCCTCTTGCTCCTCTTCTCACAGAAGTCTTGCTCACCTGCTAATGTGCTTTATCTTCCAGAATTGAAAAATAAAAGCTAAAGCGAGGACAGGGAAGTGGCTTTTTTTTTCCCCTGAACAGAAGAACTTCTAAAACAATTTCTCTTCTTTTCCTGCTCCTCTCTCTGTGAAGGGTGCCTGCGTTCCAGATCTTTTTCTGTGGTTTTGTTAGTCTTGAGTTTGTGAATTGTTTACAGTTGAATAAAACAATTTGGTAAACAAGCTATTTGTAAAAATAAATAATGCACAGTCCACTGATGATATTTAGAGATGGTGTAGTTATAGATTGTGCTGTAGCTGATTATGTAGAAACTTTCTTATGTGTACAAAATACCATGTTCCAGTCAGTGCCATGGAACTGAGCGGAGGTTTGTAGACTGTCAGCTGTTACTGAATTTGGCTTTTAGTGCAACTAGGCCATACACAATGAGATACACACAGAAATACAGGGAATTTCAGGTGACTGCCTTTCTCCATATGGTTTTTTGTTTGTTTATTTTTTAAGAGAGATCAAACATCTTTAGGTTTTATAGGGCGTCCTAAATATGGTCCTAATGTTGTCATTAAATACTGAGGGCCCTGCAATTAAGATCTGTGGTAATTTTTTACTAGAATCTTTCTAAAACAGGAGACAGTTTGGTGATGCTTTTTTTTAAATGTCTTGTGTGTTAATGAAGAAAGAATTGCCTTAGAATTCTATTTTTCTAGGTGAAATTAGAGAGGAAAGCAAATGCAAGTTTGAGAGAGGGAAACCACACCGTAAAAGTGTGAGCTTGCATTGTTTGGGGTTTTTTTGGTTGTTATTCTTGGGGGTTTTTTTCTTTTGAGGAATGTATTTTTTGGAAGAGAATCTTTCATTACAGAACCTAAAATATTATTTATTTAGATAATATTTGTATGTATGACCCACGTACAAGCCCAACACTTGCGTACACCTGTAAAGATCTTGTGCAGAAGACAGGGCCTTTCAGTACCGAAAGAAGATCTTGAAGAGAGTGAAACAAGGCTTCTGGAATTTTTTAAAATAAAAATGTGCAGGGAAACTTAGCTGAAAGTTACTGAGGGAGAAGATAAAGTGGTCGCCAGCCCCAACCAAAGAACAGTGGTGTCTGGTGATTCCTTCCCCACCATAGTTCTTTCTCTCTGCCATCACTAAAACCAAGAATTGTGTCTATCCTGCTAAGAAGCCTTTAGCTTGCCTTGATACTGGCTCCTGGTTTTGTAGGTCCCTGGGACATGTTCATTTATTATGGCAGTGTACAGGAAGTTAGGGAGCTTCACCTTCATTGGAAGGGCATCATGAATATAGAGAAGACTATCTTTCAACCTCTTCAAAACATTATTATGAGTTTAAATAGGTTTGTCACCTTTTGGTTTTTGTCAGTGGATTATCCTATAGCAGCAGCGTAGCTTTATAGCTTGTAAGACAATTGTGATGCTTTTAGGAACTGACTTGAGGAAAAAACATATTTTGATCCTTATGTAAAAATACAGAGTTAGATATAAATAATGTAACATTATTCCTTTGTGCTCTGTTTTCTCAGTTATATTTAGGTTTTTAAAAGATTTGGCCTGCTGCTGTAATTTTCAGATCTTAGACCTCTTGATTTTAGTTGGAGGCTGTGGGAGAATTGGTTTTTTGAGTACTCAAATGCTCATGAGATTTTCTGCTATCCCAGAAAATGCATTTTACAGAGTGGCTAGAAGATGTCTCTGTAGAACAAAAAACTGAAAACAGAAAAGTGTTGTCACTGCTGGATTTTCTTTTCCTGTTAGTAATGGCTTGCCTTTGCTTTAAAAAAAGCCCCAAAACAATATGCCTTTCTGAAAATTAGATCTTGGTGGTTTTCTTTAGTTGTCAAGTTGGTCCATTTTGTTTCCAGGCATGCTGCTATTATATGAAGGTCTTAATTCTGCTAGTCTTTTAATTTGGTTCCCCTGTTTTGATACTTTTGCGATTTCCTTCATATGTGTATTTTTCCCATGTGTTACAAAAGTAGAAGAAATAGTGTGGACAGCACACAGCCATTTTTAATACTTTGATGAAAATGCCTGTGCCTTCCATATGCTGAGACTTGCCGATGAAAATAGATCCAAAAGCAATAAGCCTGATGCATCAGACCTGCTGTTAGAAACCAACAGCATAGCTAATACAATTGCTCTGCTCACATATGTAGTATTTCCAAGTATCCTGCAAAATAACAGGATTTATTTACAATTTACCAAATTGTAAGGCTGTTGGTTTTGAGTGCATTTCCAGTTAAAGCACGATTGACAAAGGTTGGGTGCAGCAAAAAAAAAAATCTCTGACCCATTATTTTCTTGTATGCATCCCATATGCAAAGCTTCCATTTCCAGTTTCATAATTCTGGAGAGCTATTTCTCATTTGACTTCAGATTTAGCTCTGGTTGGCAAAAAACTACATTGTGGTGCTTTCCTACTCAATAGAGCTATTCCTTGTAGCTCTACCTATTTATAGCGATGAGTTTATTTTCTCCTCTGTTTTTTTTCATCACTGTGGACTGCTTATGCACCTTTATTTTAAAAATGCAATGGCGATTATTTATGTATTCTGTCCAATGTTAGGAGAAAGTTAAACCCAGGACATCTCTCCTTCCACATCACTGACCTAAAGAATAAGCCTTTTTGTCTGGCAGGGAAATGCTAGCTGTCTTCTGTGCAATGATACAGCTCAAGCGGGCTGGGTGCCGGGTTTTCCTGTACAGAGGAGTTGATACCTCACTCCCCAAAGACAGTTGCGTGCAGCGAACTATGCAGGACCGCGAGCCCATGTTTTCACTTTCCCGAACAAGTGTTTTAGTCATTTAAAAAATGCGAACGGCCACATTCTGTCTCTGCCACTGCCTTGAATTCTTCAGTCTCTTAGCGCTGAACTTGGTGCTGTCTGTATTTTGGGGCTCGTGTAAAGGTTGGCTAATGCATCAGTCCCCTTATGGGGACCTGCTAGGGGAATATGCAGTTGTGGCACCTGAAAGTCTGGGGCCTGGACAGGTAGCAGGTTTCTCAACTCGGGAAAGTTTGGCAGCAGGTCTGCAAGTGTGCAGCAGTAGACTTCTAGGCTAGGAAGTAGTCTACCTGGCAAACACATATCACTCGGGCACCTGAGGATCATGTTTTGAGTTTAGTCATTTAAATTCTACAGAAGATACCCCTGTTTTTTTTTTTTTTTATTCTTTTTTCACCTATAGGGACAGTGAGTGGCACGGAAATTGCTTGGTGAGGGCACTTGGTCTGTGAAGCTTTCATTGTGATGGTGAGGGGAGGATAGGGGAGAACCCAGTCTGCCTCTAATTCGGGCATGTGTTTGCTGGAGTGGGAGTTAAAAAAGCAACTTTGTGTACTTGTGAACACAGTACATTTGCTTTACAGTTACTGAGACATAAATTCATAACCCATTCTCTTGACCCCTACCATCAATACCACTGTTATTTTTCCCAGGCTTGACATACTTGGACTAGTTACTCATAAGTATTAGCTAATAGCATAGCTATTATGGTTGATTCCAGACTTGCCTCTTCAGTTAAATAAGCTCGTGTTTGTTCTTTTCTTGAAAGTTTTATTCTTAATGTCTAATTTGTTCTTCATTTCAAAGGTTCTGAAGAAAAAGCACTTGAAAGATGTGCATCTCCAACAAGTGTCTGTAAGAAGGTTCGCATCGTTCAATCTCTTTTCAATAGAAGACCAGAATACAGAAGAGGAAACTGGGACCTGGGTTCAGTATAAAAGCATCTTTTATCCTGAGTATAGTGTGTCCTTAAGGTAATCATCATTTAAGTTTTAAGTACTTCCTAAGATCATGTACAGGCCTCAAATATAAAATTCATTAGCCATTCTTCCAGTGTTTTGTATAACTAGCGCACAGTTTACAAATAAACTGTTAGATGTTCTTTTTAGTTGTTTGTTACAGTAAGCAGCTTGTCTGATTTTTTTTCAGTACATTTCACTGAAGTGCCAGAGCTTGAATGAAAATACTGATGGTTGTACCTATAACAGAATGCAAATATGAGCATTTATTTTGTATTTCTAATAGCTTTCTGTTTTGACATTCTTCTGATATAAATAGCATGTAAAAAAACTGAACACATTTACTTGTAATCTTAATAAAAATTTTAATGTCATGATGTTATTCATAAAGTTCTAAAAGCTTTTTTGTAGTAGTCTATATTCAATTTTCTTCTTAACAGTTTTTGTAAAACTCAATGATAGTTTGGAAGCCAATTTGCAAAACAATAAAAAATTTCCTCTTTGTACAGAAATGGTTTATACCTAATGAAGAAATCTGTTTTATAATAGAGCAGGTAAAACAAATGAAGATCTGTATTAAAAAAACCAACACCACCCCACCCACCCCCAAAACCCCAAAACCAAATAACCTGACCCCCCAAAAAAACCCCTCTGAAGGAGTGTTCATGAATTCTCGGTAACTTTAGCAAAACAGGAAAGTTTATAGCTCCTATTCGTTACTATGTGGAGGTTTTTTGTTTCCTTTTCTCCTGCTTTGCTCTCCTTTTCTTTGTTCAGTTTTGAACATATCTATAACTTGGTTTTGCCTCAACAGGTATCATTGCAACAGTAACTTAAGCATCCCTGAATCAATATTTGTTTTGCAGCCTCTAATTAGCCCTGCTGAGGGTGTAGGATTTTGCATTCTGTGCACAGTAGAGGATATTCTGGAGAGCCTGGGTCATCAGAATTGTACAGTGCATTTTTATTTAACTGGGACCTTTAAATTAAAGTCAATCTTAGAAACTAAGATCTAACATAAACAAGTGACCATCGTTAACTGTGACATTTTTGCAAGGTTATAAAACAAAACAACAAAAAGAAAACAACAAACCAAAACAAAAAGCCCCCAACCCCACAACACTACATGCAGGTTGCCTTAAATTTGCAGCTGGGTGAAAAGTCAAATAGGAAATTGTTTAGAGCTTTACAAAGCCTTAATTTTCCATTTTCCAAGCTTATACTTATTGATGCTAAAAGGCTTCAAAAGAAAACTTTTCCATTTGAAAATGCTGCCTATTTGTAATAGAAGTAGGTACAGTGTTTTTTCTGCATATGGAGTTTTCCAGTGAACTGCTGGGGAAAGCTACAGATTCATCCAGATGCTCACGGTCTACCTAATCTCTTTGTGCAGTGTCTCTATTCCCTGGTTTTAGGTCTTCAGAGGCACACTGGTAATGGGAAATGTAAGGTGTTTAGGTAGAATTTAGGCTGAGCAAGTCTGCAGTCCTTTATGCTGCAGTCCTGAACTTCTTCATTCCGTCTCCCTAGTTCACTTACCATGGTTTGCAACACTTGGTGTCACTTACTTGATTTACTAGTTACGTGAATTTTAAGGTAGAAGGTGAGCTGAAGTTCACCTCTGCTGGCAGTACAAAAGCCAAGGGAATGTCAGGCTGATCTTGCGCTGACATTTGATATTTGTGTCCTTGTTTCCATCGACTCCCATGTCATCATTTTATTTGGCATTTTTATTTGGCTAAGAGAAGCTTCACTGGTAATAGGACACAGCTCAAACTGTAGACTGTGAACAAGCATGTTTGTTCATGCATGATTTTATTTTTGGTGATCATTATATAGTATTCTAAGTATGAGGATTTTGTTTTAACCTTTTATGTTCCTCTGAGCTTGACCAATGGTACAGTTGTGCTGGAGGAGGCTCACATTGAGTTTCAAAAACTGTATATTGAGGAGAATAAGGAGATTGTCTCCTGGTGGGGATTTTTATTTTTTCCCCGTATTTTGTTCCGTTCTAGAAGATACACAGTGATCTTTAAAAATGGTAATCACTGATCGTTTTAGGGATAATGATCAGAACTTAATTACACTTATATATTAAAATGTTTTTTCTCTATATTGAAGTAGTGGCAATAGATAGCATATACTTATTATTTCAGAATATTGCAGGATGGTGAAAAAGGGAAGGAGAAAATACTCGCTGAGTATTTTGCCAGGGACAAAGTATAAATCCTGCAACAAAATCGGCTTTACCTTAAATCTTTATTAAGTAAAGTTTCTTCTCTGTTTTTGCAGGAGAAGTAATTTAAGAGGGTAAACGTAACAGGTTAACATACATAACAGAGCAACAGTTCTCCTCACTGAAACTGGCTTATCTAGAAGATAAGAAATCTTGGAGTAAGCGTTCCTGGATCTTTGAGAACTGATCATGTCTTGGAAACTTAAGGATCCTCTGTATGTCTGACAGTCTCGCCTTCATTTTTCTGCTCCAATTGGCAAAATATTACTTATCATCATTGTCATCAATAGAAACAATTTTAACAAGATAACAAGAGCATATTATTAGCATATTATTAACAATAACATCAGTCGGGTAAACCCAGAACAGTGTGCTTGAGTAGGAGAGCCTTTTTATATAGATATTTGTCAGGAAAAAAACGTTGCTATAGCCCCTCTAAAATCCTGACAAAAGTGCTTTTGAATTTTCATCTACATATGTTTTCCTTATGCATTAACATCTTCTTGGGAAAGCTCATTGCATATGTTGGATGTTAAAAGGGTTGTCAGCTAATATCTTGACAAGACTAAATACTTAAGAAAGTTCATAAGGTTGTTAGTGGCTTTTGGCAAAGAGTATAAAGGTCAAGCTATATCAGTTCAAGGGCTATCAAAACTGATCAAATTGTATATTCAGATATGCTATGACCTAGCTGGAATTACTGCTCTAGAGGGACTTGGGGACCAGTTTGTCAGGCAAATAGAAGCTTTGGTAGGAGCTACCAGTCTTGTGCATGCTTTTCTGAACTTCTCAGTGCAGCTTGTTTTAATAAGATGCTATTTTTCTAACCAAAGTCAGGTTGGGTTCATATTTGGGAAAGAAGAGCTTACGCCATGTTTTTTTTGTCACTAGTTTATTTTAGAACCATTCTTAATAACAAATCTTCCAAAGCAGGAAGCCAGAAGCACCAATGTATGGCGATTTTTTGCTTAAAAAATTTAGGCTGCATTTACGTGTCATTTTGACTAGATCCTTTAGGTGACAACATCATTGACTCATTTTAAAAATCCCCGTAATTCTTCTGGTTAAACAGTGATTTCTAGTGTGCTTAATGAAATGTAAACTCACAATACATGCTGGAAGGTGGTCTCTTGAAGTTGTATAGGTACTAAGGTGCTTCACGGTAGCTCTGGGGTATGAAAAGGAGTGTCTGATGAGTGTGATTTTTGTTAGCAGTGAAAGATGTGTCAAAATGACATTTCTTGTGTTATAATCCAGAATCTCGTTTGATTAGTCTAGTCTCATTTGGATTTGTACTACATCCTTGTCTTGATATGAATTGGGTGGCTACATACATTAAACTGCTCTCTGATGTTCTTTGCAATTAATGTTAATTAAAAAATAAATCCCTAAACTGACAGGAGGTCAGCCTGGGAATCGGGCTGAATGTTTATGGCAGTCTAACATGGAGAATGTGGACATATCCAGTCCAAGCTGGAATCTTGCTGCAGTTTTCACATTCAGCTTTGGGTACAGTAAACTGAGTAATCTAGTCTGCGGGTGAAAAATATGAACGTCATTTTGAGTGAAATTTCTTGCAAGCTTGAAGTGGAAAAAAATATCTTTCATTACAGATGTTATCTGGCCTTCTGGGTCTTTTCTCCATTAAAAATATGTTTTTATTCATTAAACTTTCGTGGGGGTTTTTTTTAGCTTTGTTCAAGTTCTTTTTAACTTTGGGGGTATTTCACTTTGCTGTTAAAAATTAGGCGTGTGCTAAATACTTGTTTTTAGGAAGGTGATAGGAAGATATAGAGTAAGTAGAGACATTTTAAAATATTTATTTAATACTGCATTTCTAAATCCTTCTATTCTTAGGAATATGCTTTTAAATTTAAATTTTGTATGAATAGTTCTAGCAATGAGGTGATTATAGATCATAAAGATGCAGTGTCTCACTGTGGAGATGGTGTCTGTCTTTTAGACAGGAAAATTATTCTTTTATTAGAGTTAAAAAAGGAGCAATATCTTCAAATTTTTTATTTCAGGATATGAATTTACTTTAAAATTGTAGGCTCATTTTAAGCAATTAGAGAAGAAATAAGTTATGTCTGTGGTAAAATATTTTCCATTGATCAGTCATTTGGTGTTTCAAATACTAAAATGCAGAACTGAAAAGAACAATGTTAGCAGCTTATGGGTAGGGTTAAATCTTTTGTAAAGAGTATTAAGTGTTCTTTGCAAGGTGTCATGCCTTTATTCTGAATATGAATGAACCTTTAGATAAAAATATGAAAGAAATTAGATGATTCTAGACCTTTGGTTTAGAAATGAGAGGCATGTTAATTGTCGGTGGCAAGCGGCATGTTAGAAGATGGTTTAGGAGTGAATTCTGTTGGCTATTCCTATAGGATATTTCTGCTAAGAACATTTTGAAGTTTTAATGAATTTTTGTTTTAGGGATAGACATAAAAAAATGAAGGGAAGCAGATTTCAAGGAATATTGCCTGCTCCTTATAGACAATTTGTGCGGATACGATAAACTTGCCTTCTTCCATTTATCGTGTGCTAAGAGACAACGTGTGGATTTAGCAGCATAAAGGCTTGACTGCAGAAGGAGGAAATTGAGGAAAGAGGTAAAAAGTGATCTGGGAGCATACTACTTTCATTCACTGATGTAGCTAAGACTGTTCCATCATATTGCCCAAGACCTGTGTATTTGTAAAAAGAATTTGTAGTCAAAGAAGCCATTGTTTTGGTTTCTTACCATATTAAGCTGAAATCTTGAACTGGAGTGGAAGAGGAGTTACCTTGTTTTGCTATATTCTGGCCCAGGAAGAAAAACTATTTGGTCAGATAACAAAGTTTGCAGGTAACTTATCCTGTCTTTCATTTTCCACAAATACTGTTGTTTTATTTTGTATCCAGGTTAATAATGTATGGTGGCGTGTTGTGGTTTTTTTCTTTTGAGTGTTATATGGAAACGTAGTCTATCTTAGTTTTTTGTAGTTTTTTTTAAGTTTACTACATATATTTAGTTATTTGTATTATTTTTCCTCATTCAGTTGAAGAATAATATAAAAGAAGGAACACAGTTTTGTTTCATTATGGTTGATGAAAAGCATACATTAATAGGGAGCTACTGAAGGATTATTTTTATTCTACTGTCTACAGCTATTTATAAATACATGTAAAACTCTGCCACTTCTGTTGCCTGAATTGGAGAGGAAGGAACATTAATACATTTTAAAGATATCTCTGTCTATTTTTGTTATTATAAAAATATCTCTCTGATATTTTAAAGATATCTCTCTTTCTCTGACTTTATTTATGCATCCAAAGTGGATTTATTCATAGTCCAGAGTAAGGAATTTTGCTTTGCTTCATAGCAGGAGAAACATGAGATAAATTAGTTTATCATTCATAGGTTTGTCTTCTATAACTTACTGCCTCAGCCATAGAAATTTTTGGATACTGTACTTTGAAGACTTACTATAAGAACACTGTAGATCAGATTAACCATGCTGGCCTGAAATTCACTTTCTCCATGATGCTTACCTATACTTGTTTGAAGTACTTTGTTGATCTCAGCAATCACATCTTTGAACTTCTTTGAAGTTCTTTGAATTGTACAACATTCACGACATATTCCAAAGCACTAAATACTAATGTTCTTCTGTATTTCGAGATGCCTGTGGAAATTTATGGGAATTTTGGGGTTGGGATTTAACCGCAAGCTTCAGTGATTCCTTTCCTTGGCTTTCATAATTCAGTACACATGACACTTACAAACTTTATGGGCAGTTTGTAAGATGTACTGTGGAAAGCTGTGATTATGACAGGCATTCATAGAAACAAGATGTGACGTGTATTGGCAGTTTTGTCTTGGCTCGGTAATGGTGGAGCAGCTGATGGGATGGGACAGTGAAGCAGCCGCTGTTACAGAACTGCTGGGGAGGTGTATGCAGAGCACTGGATCCCAAACTAGAAGCTGTGGTTTTTAGGTGCAGGACTGAGTAGCGTGATATTTATGGCAGAATTTGGGGTTAGAGAATACCTGTATTTACAGGTGCATGTAACTTTTAATCTGCAAGTCAGATCTGCGATGGAAAAGAGTTGGGGAGTAGCTGATGCAGAGTTTGTCTGCAGGCTCTACAAATACAGTCCTCCAAATGGAGAAACGTGGCTATTGCTGTTTGGAAATGTGTCTCCCTGAGCCCTGCCTTTCACAAACAGATCAGCTGTTGGCACGTTGCTTTCCTCAGTCCTAAAACTTGTCTGAAATAGAAGTTATGCTCAATTCTTCGCTGTTTGGGTTCCCTAACTGTTAAGTGGTTACCAGTGGAATTTAAGTGCCTCTTCTTCAGCCTGGTGTAGGGAGAAAAAGCTTTACCAGCAGGAAGAGGTATTTTCCTGTCGTGCTAATTAATTTTGGAAGATTCATTGTTACTAATGTGGAGTAGTCTTAAAATAGTCCATAATGGTAATATAGTTAAGACCTGAGATGTGACTTCCGGAGTAAATGAGAGCGGCTTTGCTATCCAGATGACTGTTGACATAATGGCTACTCCTCCCATTCTAGGAGATTGAGCTTGCTCCCTGCTTTTGTTCAGTGAAGGTTTCATAAACTGATCAGACTAAAGGAAGCAGCTGTTAAACTTAAACCCTGTCCTGTTCCACGATGAGTGTGGAGTGGGCATCTGGAAGACTGAGGAGAAGGGGGAGGTCCCTCGTAGCAAAGCTGGATGCTTCTCATCATTAAATTATGGCTCACTTATGTGCTTCCCATGAACAATATTTGTGAAAGCAAGAAAGAGATTGCTGATCCAGAGAGTTAGAGATTTTGAGCATTGCAGGCAGCCAGAAAAGGGTGCCTGTGCAAATGCCTCTGCTGGCCAAGAGAGCAAATGTTGGGGTGTGTTGTGTTTGTACTTGGACACCACAAGCTTTTGGCCACTGGATAATAAATGTAAGGATATGTTTGAAATTTGTGTGTGTTGATTTTAATTATGGAAAGAATGTTTTATAATCAGAGGAAGAACTGGTCCTTAATAAAAACCAAGTGTACCAAAAATAGTAATGTAAATGAAGAACATTCATTGAGTTAAATAAAACATCACCAAAATTTCAGGACAACCTTAAAAACAATAGGTGTGTGGCATGCATCTGTTGTGGAATCTTAGCTTGTTCTTCAGGCTGAAGTACTCAGAGCTGTCCACTTCTCATCTCCAATTATAAACCATTATTTTGGAAACAGCCTGAAATTTGGTTTAGTGATAATTTTAAAGCCAGTGCTATGGTTGTATCATTTCTCGTTTTTTTCCTTTGTCTACCTTCTGACCCTGAAGTATATAAACAGTATTCTTTTCTAGACCAGGACACTCCACTTACTTCTGTTTCTCTTTCTTCATAGCATTCTGTTGAACTACAGGTACTGGATCACTAAATTGTTCATCCTCACCTTTGTTTGCTTCACTTGGAGATTTGCATGATAAATCTCCTTTATATATGGACTATGTACATAAAGAAATTGAGGGGAGAGAAAACCAAACCAAAACGTTATCCCAGGACTAATCTACATGCCAACAAAGATTAAAACATTTCTTTACTGTCTCAGCATCTCCCCCCACCCCCCATCTTACATTCATTTAGAAGATGAGACATTCACAGCTGTCTAAGAGACCCTAACTGTATCAGACATATGCACATTTACGGAGTTTGTAGGATGCTAAGGAGTCAGCAGGGGACAGTTTAAAGGGCAGCTCTGTGGTTGGCAGAACTACTGATCCTGTCTACTTTCTTTTTAACTCTGTTGCATCGGTTGTCCAATCTGATTGAAAACAAACTTGCCAAAAAAAAAGAAGAAAAAGTGCATTTTAAGTCCACATGATCCATCAGAATTCTTGTAGGCTTCCACTGCAGCTAAGGAATGTATTTTTGGTTTGTTTTTATGTAGCTGGGAGAAGAGCTCTAATGTCCAGTTTGAATCTTTTGTAACATCTTTCATATATTTCGTTGCCCCTGTTAATGAGCTCATTTCCGTTTAACTTGATTTCCATTTGATTTTCATTTTTTTAACAATTAGTCTAGTTGCTGTTTGGTGCTTCTCAAAATTTAACACGTAAGTGTTTCTTTATTTAATGCTTATGCTTATCAGAAGCTATAAATAGCTTTTTTGCACTATGAATATACAATTTCATATTTGCAAAAAGGTTGATTTATTTTTTTTTTCATTCTTACAATAATCATCCTTCAGGAAGGAAAAGCTGAGAGAATGAGAACTTATTTTGTAGGTGCTAGGATTGTTGGATTTCTTCCTTTTTTTTTTTCAGTGTTTCAAATTAGCATGTTCCTAAACAGCCTTGAAAGCTATATTTGAAACATTATTAAAAGACCGTATTTTTGTATTTTACTGCCTTGCTGAATTCTTTTTAGATTTTTTTAATGCATTAGTGAAACTGCTATGTGATCTGATTGTTGTGAAGTGTAAGATTTTTTAATTTTGTTCATTTTGGGCCTAGATTATCTCGGAATAGTTAAAAAAATTTTAGTTGCCTTTTTTGGTGTGAATCCAGCTAGCTTGACATCTATAACATTTAGAGGAGGCTTCTTAGGCAAATTTTTATTCAACTTTGGTGCATGTTCTTTCTGTTGCTGCCAGTGTTTTGCTCACTGTGTTCTAAAATTTGCAGTTGGTATGTGAAATTCAGTTAATTAATTAATTATCCCCAGTTTTGAATGTTTATTTCACTTGGGTTATGCAAATGTAAAACCAAAGAAAGGGCAGTTCACTGAACACATTAATCAGTTTCATTGTTCACATTAATTAAATGAAGTGTTCTTGATTTTGTGGAAGAAAATAGGAATGTGTGTACAGCTGCTGTTCAAAAATACGTCTTTTGTTTTTCCTTTTCAAAGAAATCGCTTTACCAAAATCCTTCCTTTCCTATATGTGAACAAAAATGGTTGCTCTTTGGAAATGTTTTCGTTTTGATAAAGTATTAGTTTCCGAGAAACATGTTCCTGGTTCATGGATTTCAGTGATGGAACTCTGAAGACTAGAGATTGTCCCCTTGTTTTCCCCCTGGTGGCTACAGTAGTACCTGTTTGCTACTTGTCTGTGAAAGGGGTTTGTGAGAAGTGAACGCGTGCAGTGAACCTCTTTTCTTCCAGAACCTCTTCCAGAGGCAAGATGGGTTTTTTTTGATTGTTTGTGTGTTGGTAAAGTCACTATTTATGTTTTCTTCCAGATTTCACAACGGACTCTTAAACGTTAAAGATGTTCTTACAAGTTTTGACAACACGGGGAATGTCTGTAAGTCATTGTTTATTTAAATACAGCACTATGTTGATCGAAGTCTAATTGTATCAATATAAAGTATTTCTGTAAGAGCCCTCAATAACCATTTCATTTAGCTGAGAAACACCATTACTGTGGTCAGAGATACAGATCTACCTACCATAGTGTCTTATGTGTTACACTCTTTTATGTAGCACAGTTGTTTGTGTGGATACACCTTTAAGTCATCCCAGTGCAGGTTATTTTTGGTTCTGTGACTGCGTTGGGAACATTAGAGCAGCTGAACTGGGTTGGACAAAAAATTAGTTTAGCCCATTGATTTGTGTTGGCCAGTGGCCAGCAGCGGCTCTCTGAGGAACAACAGTGCAAGAACATGGGAAGCAAACAATGATACTTCTCGCTTAGAGAGGGCAAACTCAAACCAGAGAAAAACAAAAGAAAGCACACAGTCAAGTTGTGAAATTTCTCCCCACAGAATGTTTTGGATCCTAGAACATGACCTGCATTCAAAAGGCAAAGGGGAAAAGATTGTACAAGAAAAATTGACTGTGGCTATCAAATGTAAAGACATCGCTTATGGCTTAGGAAGTGCTGGATGTTAGGAGAATTAATGGGACAGTAGGATGATGTGTTAGTCCTGATCTTTCACTCTTGTCTAAGCATCAGTCACTGGCCGCATTAACCTGAGACAAGATGAGCCGTAAGTGGGCCTTCAATGTCTGACCCAGTATGGCTCTGCTTCAGTATACTTATTAATAAAATTATCTATGCTATTAATGGACTTGAACTATAAAACTGTGGTAGATCATGGAAAAGCAGCTGAGCAAAAATATTTAAATATTTTTGATGTAATGAGTAATTACTATTACGTAATTAACATTTACAGATCTACATATAATTCTTGTTTGATTATTCTGCCTGATTTTTCAGGTTGGTTGGTTTGGTGTCAAACAAGCAAAGTGATAGAATGAAGTTGGGGGGCATCTCTGTAAGTTTGCCAGATATTCAAGAAATGTGCACCTATCTCTTCTTCCTTATCAAAGCAATGATATAGAAACTGTTCTGATATATACGTGTTTCATCTCAAAACTCCAGTCTTAGTATTCCAAAGCTATGTTTCAATAAACATTGGCTTTTCAGTAGCAAAAAGGTCAATTTATTTAATAAACTTTTGCCTTCAAATGGAAAAAAAATCATAAACTATGTGCTCTCCTTTTTAAAATTTGCTAGCTTTCATTCAGTTCTGAACATTGAAGATAGCTGTGTGGTCCTGCCACAAAATACTTCAGGATATATTCTTTAACTGTTGCCAAAGAGAAATTTGTTCTCTGATTTCTGAATGAAAATTATATCTAAGGGATATATGAATATCCAAATTAATAATATTAAGTCTGAGAAAGAAAATTCACATTTGTAATTATGATTGACATCAACTACATATGTAGGCATCATGAGCTGGATGATAAAAACATTTGGATTTAAGACATTTAGGATCTGGAAGAAAATGCTTTGCTTAAATTACGGGAGGCATTTAGAGAGATTTGTTGTTGTAGATTCTCAGAATAGGAAGCTTGAGGGACTTTTATAACAAGTTACTTTATTCTCATGAACTGGATAGAATATTGAAAAAATATTGTTATATTAGTTCATTAGATAACAACTTGGGTATTTATTTTGAACAGCAGAGAAAATCCCCCCCCCTTTTTTTTTTTTTTCTAAAAGTGCTTCACATAGTGGATCAAGACCTTACTCTGTTAAACATGGTAACATGATTTCTTAATCTTTGTTCTTTGTGTGAGTACTTAGATTGTGATCAATCTACACAAATTTCCTTGTTAACACAAATAATTTACTCTGCTACTATATGCTTTCCTATTGATAGATGTGCTGTGAGCTCTTCTGTTAACTTTTTCCACTAGTTCAGCTACTTTATTACTGATTGCAGATGGTGGAACAAGACTTACACTCTAATAGGCACACCACCAGTGCTAACACAGGAGCAATATGACATTTTTGGTTCTTCTTACTGTTTCTCTGTATATACGAAGATTCACATTTGTCCTTTTGGATTCAGTATTGCTTTGAGGGTTCATGCTGTGCTATTATATACAGTGTTTGCTAAGTCATTTCCAGATTCATTGCTTCCCCATTCTGTGTCTGTAAGTTTCTGTCTGTATTGATGTACATATTACTGATTTATGCCCATTTTACTAAGCACTCTAGATTACACTCTGTTAGGGTAACTGTAAAATAGTTACCTCTGGCAGTATGCAATATTGGCTTGAAGTGTAATAATGATACTTTTTTGCTACCACCTGTATGGAGTAAATGTCCCCAGTGTCCAAGCCAGAGTAACTATGCGTCTGTCACATCATCATAGTAAAGTTCCCCCAACCATGTGTTTACTGAGCTGCTCTATTTGGCTCATACCTGACTGAATTTGTGTGCACTCCCATTATTCCTTGATTTGAATTGACTCTTTGACCTTTTTCTGAGTATTTCTTGGCTCTCTTTGTGTTAACCCACAGTGGAAATGGTAGGTAGTAATCCTGCCTCCTTTTACGCCCAAGGGTAACTACAGTTGTAGTATTTCTAAAATTAGGTCGACTATTTTTTACAATTGCTGTGGTGTTCTTTAAGAACTTTATATTATCAAATGGTAGTCTACCCTAAAAAAAACCCCAAACATTTCTAAAATGATCTTTAACAGTCTTAGATTATTTCTTCTAATACCTAATACTAATGGAGCTAGCCAGTATTGAACATATTATCAGTCCCATCTACAGTAGCATGCTCTGTGAGGGGACCCATTGAATAATTATAGACTTTAATGTTCTTTTAGGACACAGTGCATAATCAGAATTTATTTACCGGGCACTAAACTTCACTTAAACAATTCAGACCGAGTTATCAGAAAACAGTTAAATATTTTAGTGTTCTGTGTGTTTGTTTTGGCTGCCATACTGAGTATTTATCAGTAAGATTAACGTTTTGCTAGAGATTATTAGATTATGAAATAATTGTGTATTAAACAGATTAGATTTTGTAAAAACTGAAACATGTTGCATATTACATCCTTTTTAAACATAATCATTTGTTTCAAATAACATGGCTTGTGTGGGTTTGGGGGGAGGTTTTTTGTTTCTTCTAGTAATGTTCCTAAGTACCTTGTGTTAAAACAAGCTCTTTCAGAGAGCATTTCTATGGTCTTTTTGTTTCACTTTTTGATCTTTCTGCTTATGGTCTTTAACAGCTACATCACCATACACCATCAAAAGAAGAGTGGTAGAGCAGACTTAGTTAATAGCACTTTCTCTACACTCCTGGTAGATATCAACTCAGTACAAGATGTGCCACTAGCTGGCAGCATTATATAAAATATCAGTAAGGAGCTTTTGAGGAATACTTGTGACAGCTTCCAGAAGTGCTGCCTTATACCAGTAAGACTACAGGACAAAAGTGGAGCCAACTGCAGTAGCTGTAAATGGCATATTGCAGGGTCCCAAGTGTTAACTCTGGAAATTGCCTCTGCACTATATCTTCTTCAAACTTGGTACCTACACTCGTATTCTGTCTTTTTCAAAAAGATTGCTGAAGATGCATTTTCATTGTAGGATTGCTACTGTGAATGAAAATTCACACTACAAATTACAATTGGTTTTCACTTTCCCAGAAAAATTTTTTCTCTCCTGTGCATCCTTTGTGAGAGAGCAGTTTCCACGTGAAAACTCTAAATGAATTCTCCACACAGGCAGGATGCAGTGCTAAATGCACTTCATACAGCTTTAATTCTATGGAGGCAGGGAAGAGAGGACTGGAATGAAGGAAAGGATCCATCTGTTCGTTTTAGACAACAGTATGCCATCTGTTAAAAAGATGGTATATCCTGAGACCATCTCTAGTCCTAAGATAGTCCTTTAAAAGAACTGATGGATCCCAGGCAGAATCCATCGAGCTGGCTCCAGGAGCCACATGCCATACTCATCCTTGAAGAAGAAAATTCTCTTCCGCAACGCTGTCCAAAAAGCAAGGAAAATTCTGCGAGAATGAGCTTTTGAGAGTATCACCTTCCCCTGCCTTTCCTGGTGGGAGAAAGCAGTTATGACTGAAATGCTTGTATAATTATGTCCCTGCAGTAATTATTTCAAATTATGTATATGTTTAAATTAAGTGAAATGATCAAGGGCCAAAATATAAACCTCTTTACTAACTGCCACCAGTCTAAGCAAGCTACAGTGGCTGTAAAGGAGATTTTTCAGTAGTGAAATACAGCATGTTTTGGGATTTTCATCTAGTATCTGCTGGATGTCAACATGGAAACAAGATATTCCAGAGTGCTCAAGTAGTATGAAATTGCAAATATCCTATCTGTAATAGCAAAACATTTTCTTGTAAACTGCCCATAGCATTAGTTAATAATGTAACCATTTTCAAGAAACAACATGTTCAATACATATTCATTTTATTTTCTACTTGGTTGAGTGTACAATTACATGTTTTGGAACTAAAAAAGCAGCAGAGGGTGCTACAGGTACAGAGCTATCCAGGCACATACCCCAGAGTTGTTGCTCCTGTAGGCAAGTAGATCCTGCAAAGACTTAAGCTTTCAGTTTGGGGTAGATGTAAATAGGATAGCTTTAAATTCTGTTGCCTCTGTTCATACAGGAAAACAGGTAATCTATGTGAAATCCAGAAAAAGTAGAATTACATATTCACTTGTTTTCTTGAATTTTAAAAAAAAAATATTTTATTGCTGGAAAATGTTGCATAGTTTCCTGCAAACATAGTGTCTGGGTATACCTACTGTTACAAAACACCTACTCGCTATCTTTAGAACTGTTTTTGTTTGTGCTAATTTTACATTTAGAAATTCCAATCTCTGCAACAAGTTTTATACTGGAAAAATTTGGGTTTTTTTTTCATGTGTGGCCCCCCCAAATAAATGAGCTAGCTAAATTGGAGAATATTTTTGCCTCTTCATATAATACTTTTCATAAAAATAGCAAGAGAGAAGG